GTAGTGGGGCCAGAAGCCATAGAATGTGGCCATCATTCTGCTCTCCCTTTCTGTGCTCAGCTGTTTTTTAACTCTTTGCTGTTGGGATGTTCCATTAAAGATAGCTCCTTGAACCACCCTCCACCCCAACTCGACCCACACCCTTACATGATGTAGATCGTAGGGCCATCTGGTAGAACTTCTTGTGATGATGGAAATGGTCTATATTGGTGCTGTCCAATTCAGTAGCCACTAGCCACACGTAGCTACAGAGCAACTGAGATGTGGCTAGTGCAACTTGGGAAATGAATTTTGAACTTTAATTTTAACTAACTTAAATGTAAATGGCCACAGGTGACTAGTGGCTACTCTGCTGGAGAGGACACAGAGCAGAAGAGATGTCCTTTGCCTTAATGAAAGTAGTGTGTGCTGAAAGGCGAAGATGGTGGTTGACGCCACTCTGTTCCACTGGAAAATCCTCTGGTTGGCTTACAGTTTGAAGGGAAGCAGAGGAGGGGAAAACTATCCTGATGTGTCACCAAGTTGGAATCATAAAGAGTTAAGGGCTGCAAGAGAGAAAAATGAAAGGCTACCATCTCTGGAATCTTTTTAATGGAATCTTTCTTTTCCAGAGGCTCTGAAAAGCAGAGCAAAGCCCAGCTCCCACCAGACACGGAGGTTGGCCGTGAGGGGCATAGGAAGCATTTAAAAATAAACAAGAGCCCTAGGCCCAGGATTTGCCCAAGGCCCCAGAACCTTGGCAGAGCAAGGACCAGTACCCAAGGAGCTGATCTCCCAAGGCGATCCTCTCTTTACCAAGGAAGCCATGCCATCTCGAGTTACTGGTCCAGCCTGTCCTCTGAAAGAAGACCATCATAAATGTTAAAAACGCTTTGCTTAAAGAAAGAATTCTGGTGTACTTGATTCATAACCAGAACCATCTGGAAGCAATCTCGTATACACACGACGGACCTCTCTTCCTCTTTGGCCCTCACGGTCTCTACAAATCCCACCAGCCCAGGAACAGCTGCCGGGGAACCTGGCCCGACGCCAGGGGTGAAGCCGCAGCTCCTTTCCCCACAAACGTCCTCCTGGGCCCCCGGCTTGCTCGTCACCCATGTGGCTGAACACGGAGCACGAGGAACGCCGATGCTACGTGAGAAAGCGGAGTCACCAGCAGTCACGGGAGTAGGGAACTGGTGCCATAAAGCCAGCTGTGAGAAACTGTTGTTTCAACTCGGTAACATAGACGCTTGCCAGCAAATTATGGCCTGAGACGGCACAGAGGGCTGCGGGCCGGGACACAGAGCTCACGGTGCCAGCTAATGTGCATCGTGCGACAGCCGCTCGGCACAAAGGCCTGGGAGAGGGGGTGCCTGCTGGCACTGAGCGCAAGGCTGGGGTTCTGGCACCAGGACCAGGGATGCAAGCCAAGGAGGTGAGAAGTGGGCCACATCAGGAACCAACTCAGTGCTGGGGGTGCCATGAAGACACTGCCTTTGTGAATCAAACCAACGTGGAAACTATCTGAGGAGACGGGGAACGGGAGGCGGGGGAGCCAGGGAAGAGACTGATTTCATTATGAAGGCCCTGGGGACAATAACCTTTTGTCCTCTGTACAATCTGGGCCTGCCAAGCTGCTCCACGGTCCCCGCCAAAGCACGAGGGTGGGAGAGAAAGGATCCCGTCAGGAGGCAACAGACTCATCCTTAATTATGAGACAAGGCTTCCCAGAGCTGACATCCTCCCCCACTTCCTCCCGCTGCAGACACACCACAGAAAGCTGGCACGACGCTCCTCTAAGGAGGGCAGCAGTTCTCCCAAGCAGAGGAGACGCGGCTCTTTGAGGATCTTCCCCATCATGAGCACCCCCAAATCACACACAGACTCTCAGCGACGAGTGTTAGGCATCATGGTTTAATTCGGCTAACGGTCTTTGGGGTCAGATCGGGACTAGAAAAGTTACCGCCTCAGCAGCTCCTGCAATGCTTTGATCCGTCCTCCTGTCCTCTGAAGGACTGTCAAGGAGACGCTAATCCTGGTGGATAGAGGTCCCGTGCTGAAATTTACATCGCAGTTCAGAACCGAATAGTGATGTCTAATCTAACCCTGAAGAAAAGGTGACTGGCGCATTGTATCAGAACGAGCCCTGGACTACGAGTCAGAAACCCGGGTTCTAGTCCTTATTCTGACACTTTTGTGCTGGTGGAAGATGAGCAAACCATCTAATCTCAATTTGCTCAACTGCAAAATGGGAACACAGAGGAGGCGCCATCCAGCATTTGGCAGGTCAGCGCAGTAGTCAGCAGTGTACACCCTGAAGTGACGCTGTCTGGGCTCACATTCCTGCTTCTCTTCTTACTAGTTGTGTAACCGTGAGCAACGCAGCCTCTGTGCCTCAGTTTTCTCATCTGTAAAATGTATCTAGTTCATAGGGTTGTTGAATATGAGGAGTCATGTACAGCTCTCATCACAGTGCCTGGCCCATGGCTCTCCCAATAACTAGCAGCTAGCCCCAATGCTGTCACGAGCAGTGGGGGACAAGGGGGACATAAAAATGCCCACAACTAGGTATTTACTACAAGGATTAAACTGCTTAGCAATAGGTGAACCCTTTGCGTGTGTGCGTGTGTGTGTGTGTGTGTGTGTGTGTGTAAGAAAGAGAGAGCAAAACAGAGTAACTGTGTGCCTATAAATTGGATATAATCTAGTCCCTGAACTTATCTACATTTAAAAAACTTACATAAAATGGGGCTAATCTTTAGCCTCTTGTTGACCAAGTTTGTTTTGAGGGTTTAGATCTACTTTGGCTTTCTGGCGTAGAAAGAACATACAAACAGCCTTGCCTCAAGCTCAGCATGTCTCATATGCGAGTTCCTCATGCCTACCCTTCCCGTGGACCATCCACAACATCGACTTGCCCCCAGCGACTTCTGTCATTACTCTCCTTTTCTTCCTTTCACACAGTAAATACTTGCTGCCTGTCGACTACGTGTCAGGTGCAGGCCAAGGCACAGGGCTCCCTCTCAGGGGGCTTACAGACTAGTTGAAGAGACATATTTCAACAGATCATTGGAGTTATTGATGACTGACCCCTTACACTTATCCCTTGGCCTAAATCATCTACTTTCTTGTTCATTTCCTTCCCTTCTGTTTCTGCTTCCATCCCTCTATTTGGTCCTGGAGACCTCACATATATATTTCCATGATAGTTTTTTCTGGGTACCCGAACCTGCGTTCTCTCCTAGTCAGTCTCCTTCATACTCCTCTTTAGAAGCACCTTCCTAAAACATTGCTTTCATCATTCATTTTCCTTCTTAGAAACACACCTGTGTAACCTACAGCCTCCTACAGAAATCTAAATTGCTCTTCCTAGCTTCCCTCACCCTCGATTATGTTCCCTCAATACCAGCTCAGTCTCATTTCCCACACATGCTCATCTTCTTTTGGGCCATTTTCCTTGCTGTCTCTTGGATCTACTCTTTTTGTTTATGTGTTCACAAGCACTTGGGTTTCTGACCTGCGATGCCTTTCTGTTGCAAATTCTACAAAACCTAGATCAAACCCCACAACGCTTTTCTCAACTACAGTAGCCCTCCCCTTAAACTTTTCTGTAAGAAGCACTAATTTTGCTGATTAAATAAAATGAATTTATGGAGAAAACCCAGTTGGGTTAGGATAAGGACTCTGGGGCACCAAAATTCCAGAACTCAGAGCTGCAAATATAGTGAATCCTTTCCAGTAAATTCATTTATGTTTCAGAACAGGCAGAAATATTTTAGGCTTTGTAGACTATGATATAGTCTCTGTTGCACGTACCCAGCAGCCCTGATGAAGTGTGAAGGTAGCCAAAGATCAAATGTACAGAAACGAATGTGGCTGTACTAAAAAAATTATTTACAGAAAGGGGCCGTGGGTGGAATTTGGCTTTGGGGCCATAGTTTGCTGACCCTGTTCTAGAAGAAGAGTGGATACTGGTGACTATCTTCTCTTTTAGATGGCAGAGCACAGAAGTGCCTTTGATCAACCCCATATCTTCCCAAGGAAGCTCAACTATTCCTGTAAGTTCCTAGGAGTAGATTCCCAGCCTGGAAGTCATCACCATGGGAATTTGGGCTGTGACCATCTGTTCTAGTTATTTTGGTCAATGAAGAAGAGATAATGGAATCTACTTCTCTGCCTGTGTTGGAGATACAGTGAGGAAGGAGTCCCTTGTCTCATTCTTCTGCTGTCCTCAGTCTGGCAGGGGGCTCACTGGTCAGCATCTCAGGGCCTAAGGGGAAACCTTCACCCCAACTTCTATGTGCCGGGCACCGCCCTCTCTTTAATCCTTACATCAATCCTATGATGTGTAAGATCTTTATCATCACATCTATTTTTCAGATGGAAGAAATGGATGACGTTCTTATTGAACGTGAGCCACTGATCCACTACAGTTTATCTAGGGGTGTTTTGGGAATAAGACCCCCCGGCCAAGATTTCTTATTTCAATTTGAATGTGATACAATAACGAGGATAGCTCATTACCTCTAGTCCTTACAACGACCCTTCAGAAAGTATATATTTTTTCACTTTATCCATGGAAAATTGGGCTTATAGGGGTGAGCCGTTTATCCAACTTTGCCTACTCAGAATGGTCAGAGCTAGTGTTCAAATCCAAGCCAGTCTGGCCCAGTAAAACTTTGGCCCGTTCCTTCGAGCCCTTGACCTAAAAACCCAAGTTTAATGTGTTTTAGAAACCCCAAATGCTTGCACTGTGTGAAGTAAGGAATTAGGTTAGCTTCATGGGGTCTAGTGCCCCCAGGAGGATTGCAGAGAAGCAGAGGGGCAAACCAGCACGGGGGTCTCAGAACTGGTGTTGGTGAAGACCGCAGCAGTGGGCGTAGCCCTCTTCCTTCCCCACAAACCCGGGTCTCCAGCTGCACCTCCTGATCCAAACTGCGTAAGAGGCTTTTTATGGTGGTGAGGCTTCCTTTACACACCCTGTGGCAGTGCCAAGGCAGAGCAAGGCATGTTCTTACCAGCCCGTCATATTAAAGTCCCTGTAGAGCATCTTCTTTCCAAGTTCCTTTCTCTGAACTCTCCTTGGAAACTCCAAATGTGTGAACTCATTTCCCAGCAAGTGAGGCTGCATGAATGCCTAATAGCAAAAAGGAGGGGGAAAAAAAAAAAAAAAACCACACACATATTTAGAAGGAAAAATAAGACTCAAGGATATTTTGCAAATTGAGACAGGCCATATTTCAAAAACAAGAAAATCGTTCTCATATTTTAAGGGAAATAAATTTAAGGATCTAAGTACAAACAGAATAGCAACAAAATTTAATTTATAAAAGCATTTAACTTTTTCATTTGATATGATAAATTAATCGTAATCAAAGACATGTATTGCTAAAGTCTTAAGGAAAAGAGACTGGGCCTCTCCAAACGTTCACTTTTTAATTCAAATCCAAGATGGTTTCCCTTTCCTGTCGGCATGTTGATGAGGCAAGCAAGCTCCCCGCAGCCTTCTCCTCCTCGGCTTTCTCTGCTCTCCTCTTGCTCAGGCTCCTCGTTATCAAGGCCTTGCCTCTGAAACCTGCGTGTGAGTCTCCACATCAACACAGCGGCCTGAGAGAGCAGGGTGGGGCTGGATACACCAGACAGGAACTTTCTGCTGGACCCCCTCCATTCTGCTCTGCAGTAATTTGATCACGTAATTGGAAGACTATCCAGAGCAGATGGCTTCTTCCCCTCCCCCAGATCTCTGTTCACACTGCAGAAGTCTTGAGCAAACAGCCACTTAAGGAATTGCTTTGAAACAACAAATAATCTCATTGTCACGTTCAAAATTCAAATCCAGCTATCCAAGAGATGAAACGCTCAAGTCTTAACTTCCCTGCTCTGAGGCCACACTCCGTAGGCACACCTGCACTGGAGCTTCCCCATATAAAGCTGCACGCCTGCTTATTAGCAGCATGGTAGAATGGATCTTCTTTTATTTTTTGGCAAGGATAAGAGTGGGCAGAGTACATCACAGCCTGGCGCTGCAGGAAAGCAAGGGAGCCCTGCCACAGGACAGACGGCCACGTCCTCAGTCTACTGGAAATAGGCATCTCCCACAGCCTCCTTCCCAGGACCTGACAGCAGCAGGGCTCAGACTGACTCTCTGGTGGTTCGGAGGGATGGCTGGGATGGCAGTCATCAGAAGCTAAGTGTATCAGGAGTCAAAGGGAGCAAGCTTAGCTGTCACCAGGCTGGTCAGATTTGGCCTGATACACATCTCTGAGCCAGTGATTCTGAGCAGGCATGGCGACACGACAGGACTGAGGCCGAGAAGGGCACTGTCCTTACTGCCTGCTGCAGCCCCAACAGGTTCCAGGTCTGGTAGGAATTCTGGATTATCTCTGAAGGGCTCTGAAACCTCTGCTGGGAAGGAGGCTTGGGCTGCTGATGGGTATCAAGGACTCTTCAACACTGGGTTTTACAGAAGTTCCCTGGGAAGGAAGGAAGGGAACTAACACTTAACAGGGCAGGTCGGCTGTATGGGCCTTGGGTGAGCCAGACTTGGTTTGAATCCAAGCTCTGCATTTACAAGCTGTGTGATTTTAGCCAGTGATTTAACTTCTTGGGCCTCAGTTTCTTTACTGGTACAAGATTAATTGTAAATTTATCTCACACTGTTTTAATAAATGAAATGACATCTATAATGCACTTATCATGGTTGTCTCTGCACATGAAAGAAAATAATTACTTCCATCTAATGACCCCCTGATTCCCATTACTTCCTGCACACCATGATAACTGCTTTGTGGACCCTCTTTTCACACCCCCAACAACCTGATGGGCGGGACTGGCCACATGGTTTCTGGGGCCTGGTGCAAAATGAAAATATGGAGCCTCTGTTCAAAAACAAGCATTTTGAGATGGTGACAGCAGAGCATTAAACCAAGGGCAGGCCCTGGGTGACTGCATAAGTCACACACCCATGAAGCCAGCTGTGCTTATGGGCTAGATACTATTCATTCCTTTGTTTTGGTCCACCCACGGACACTAAGGAACGGAGGCATAAACAGTCAATGAACAGCAGCGCCTGTTACATACCCTTTATCATCTCAGAACTTTGGGACTGTTATCAGCACGGAGTTTTTGTCTACACCCCACCCCCCAAGCTGGACTAACACTGATTTAGCAGTTACCATGTACCGGGCACTGGATACACCTTATTTATTACCTCAACAATCCCACAAAGCAGGTGGCATAGACTCAGTTTATAAATGAGGAAACCAAGGCCCAGAGAGGTTAAGACACCTAGCCCAAGGTTATCAGCCAGGACTGGGCAGTTCTAGAGCCTGAGCTTAATATCATGCCCAAAAAACAGTACATATGCAACAAAAGCCTTGTGACCCTGTCGCTGCTGGACCGCGCAAAGTCTGAGTCACAAACAGGTACCCGTGAGGACCCGGTTAACAAAAAATTACAGACTGGCACAGAGCTTGGCCACAAGGATATTCCTGAAGTAGCTAAAAGAAATCATTTAATAATAGGAGTGATTAAATAAACTGGTATAAATCCACGCAAGAATTCTATCATTTACAGTGACGCTACAGAGAATATGTAATGACACGGAGAGAGCTGATATGTTTGTAAAAAGCAGGTTATCACACAATGTGTGCCTGTGAGTGTGTGTGTGTATGAGCTACGTGAGTTGTCACACGTACATAGATCTATAGATAAGACATATATGAATATGTAAATGAGTAGGCGTGTATATAAATACAGGCTTATATATTATTAACTTATATATTATTAACAAGCAGGTTAGGATCCAAAGGCCGCTCCTAAGTACATCTCTTCACAAACCCAGTGACCAAGGGGGCAGATGTGCAGAGTTCCAGGCGCTTTGCCCCCTAACAGGAGCACGTAGGGGCCCTTGGATGGAGCTTTACCCAGGTAACCACAGGCCCTTTCTGCTGGCGTACGTTTGCCTGGGCAGTTAGCTGGACTCCTCTGCAGCTTGCTGTCTGCAGGGCCACCTCACCTCTCCCTCTGAGGGTGAGCAGGCTCAAAGGGCCTGAAACCCTGTGTGGCCTGTGACATCTGTAGCCCCTGCACATGCAGAGCCTTTAGGGGCTCAACGAACTGCTTGCTTTCTCCCATTATAACAGTAGGCTACTATATTTCACCAATCCTAAGATGCCCTTTATTAGATGCACCAGTATCTTACTACCTCTGAGAAAGGAAGAAAAAATCTGCCAAGTAAACTATGTACAATGCTTTCTTACCACTTTAAATTTTTATTTTATTCTTTTTGAAAGAGCTCCTTCAGACTTAGACAAATTTTTACCTATCACTATTGTGTCTATTTAAGAAGGAATAGGGGCCAGCCCGGTGGCGTAGCAGTTAAGTTCGTGTGTTCCGCTTCAGCGGCCCGTGGTTTGCTGGTTCGGATCCTGGGCGCGGACCTATGCACCGCTCATCAAGCCACGCTGTGGCAGCGGCCCACATAGAGCAACTAGAGGGATGTACCACTATGACATACAACTATCTACTGGGACTGTGGGGATAAAAAAGGAAAAAAGGAGGCAGATTGGCAACACACGTTAGCTCAGGGTCAACCTTCCTTAAAAAAAAAAAAAGAATATATATTGGCTAAGGTTTTGCAAAACATTTTCACGTTTAGAATCCAACAGCTGGCATCACTTTTTGACTCTGAATCATTCATGTTCCTGATTTTCCACTCAACAGTGGCCTGTTTCATGGGGTCATTGGTGATGCAGCATTTCTTAAAGAACCCATAAGAGAGCTACAAGCCTCAGAGCCAGGGGTGTGAGGTGCTTAAGTCAGCTTTGCAATTGTGGGAATGCAGCTGAGCAAGTCTGATTCACACCTCCCTTCACCCCTGCCCACAAGTGGGATTCAAAGAGGCTCCAAGTGGGCTTCATTTCTGTCTGCCGAGTTTTCTTCCAAGCCACCGGACGCCCACTCCTGTAGTCTGGTGCTGCCCTTGGATGCTGGCACACACCCAGGAGATGACATCCGTGTCACGCCTGCCACCTGGCTGACAGTAACAACCAATTGTAAAATAGCCCAACTTCAGATATGTCACAAGGTGAAAAAAAAAGTGCCTTAGCTCTGAGAAATACTGTCAACATCATCCCCCATTGATACAATGTCACATCCTTAGATTTCTGTTTTTATGGTTATTTTTCTTCCTTTCTTGCCAAATTTCACATGCTGTACGAGACATTTCTGTCACACTCATCCCCACCTTACAATGTGTGTGTATTCCATGTATACCTATGACATATTTTTACTATTTCTTAAAATCACCATCTACCTCCTAATTGTAGGCTTCCTTCTTACCAGCACTTTCTATACTCACTACTGTTGTATTTGTCAGACCTGATGGAGTTACCAGTGTTAAAGGAAAACCAACTCAAGAACTAAGTACAAGTAGAGCAAAGAGGTGGCTGATTAATGAAAAATGAGATGCTAAAGGATAATGGGACACAGACTCGTTGGTTTTCAGAGGAAAACACACTTCTGCTCATTAATGTATCTTTTTGTACAATACTCACGGCAAGTTTGTATATATGGTATGTCTTAGCTCGGGCTGTTATATCAAAATACCACAGACTAGGGGGTTTAAACCACAAAAACTTATGTCTCACAGCTCTGGAGGCTGGAAAAGTCCAAGATCAAGGTGCCAGCAGATTCACTGCCTGGTGAGGGCTCTCACCCTGGCTTGCAGACTGCTGCCTTCTTGCCTCCTCCATCTCACATAGCTTTTCCTCTGTGCCCTTGTGGACAGAGAAATCAAGCTCTCTGCTGTCTCTTCTTATTGGGACACTAATCCTATTGGATCAGGGCCTCACTCTTGTGACCTCATTTAACCCTAATTACTTCTGTAAAGGCCCTGTCTCCAAATTCAGCACATTGGGGGTTAGGGCTTCAACATATGAATTTGTGGGGAAGAAACAAACATTCAGTCCATAACATGGTCTTATATGTGTGCATGTTTATATATGTTCATACACTCAAAGTCATCAAAATATTATAAATGTTATTGTTTTCTTTTTAACTTACACATATTTATTAATATTTCTACCACTGAACATGAATTACCTCTGTTTAAAAGAAATTCTAAAAATTATTTTT